CATCTGTTAAATCATTAATTTCAAAGCATACATGTGCTGGTTTATATATCATCCTTCTAGGAAATTCACTCAAAACGGTGTGCAACTATTAATTAGAATGATGAATTAGTCCAAGTGCAAACTTAATTTTTCGTAACATTTACATTTCACTCGTTTTGAGTAGTATCTTTTCGAGTTTTAAGCTCACTTTAGACGATCTATAACATACGATCAAATTCGAGACAGAAATCTAAAATTTATAATATTGCATATCGCGTGTAACGTAGAAAACATTTGAAAAAATAAAATACACACATATAGAAAATATACATCAATGATATATATATTTTTTATATATGTATATTTTATGTTTATATGCAAAAAATTAATACGAAAAATGTAATACAATTGTAAACAATTGGTATTAATTTTTTACACAATAATTATATTACTTTCTAATATATTCTAATATATTCATCTTATATTAAATTATCACAAAAATTTGGACGCATTGTTCGGGGCACGTAAATGTGTTAAATCTTACAAATATTTTCCAAATATGTACTTGATGTTCATTTCAACGACATTCGGCCCAATTACTCTACTTGCGGCAGTTAAGAAGTGCATTATTTGCAAGTAGACGCAGAAAGAGGCTTCGAACAACGGCGGAAGAACAACTCGTCTTCATATCTCAGTAAACACGGCGGAAGCTGTAAACGTTCACGCCTCAATCCGACCCTCTTAATTTCTGCTCGGCTGCCTTGGGCTTGATCAGAATTTCACCTTCGCAAAGCGAGTGGAGATGCGCGACGCGAGAGAGATGCATCGACGACAACAGAAATCGACGCCTCCGCGAATCCCTGATAATCCAGAGGGCGGATTCGCACCGTTCAAGGTGAAGATTACTCAAGCGTGATTACCCAAGTTCAACGTCGAAACTCCGGCTGAGGTCGACGGCCGCGACACTCGCGAGGTCAACAGACAGATGGCTCAAGGTCAACGACCGAGTTAGCCGGGGTCAACGACCGTGTCGTTCAAAATGCTGGTGTCTGAATAGTCAAAGGTCAAGTTACGAGGAGGAGGGTGAGCAAAGAATCGAGCTTTTAAGGAGTAAGGAGATGTCAGAGCTCGCAACAAACAATTGGAAACTATTTTAGGGGATTCGAAATATCGTTCTTTCATATCTTCGCAAAATTCCTGCAAATCAAAAAAAGCTTCATTGTGACCTGGATTTACATATCTTCAAATCGCTAGACTGAACGACGTTCTCACTAATATAGTTGCGCAAGTAAATTATGATTACAGCCTGTGTGTTCCTTACACTCTTATTAGTTGCTCGGGAAAAGTCCAATCTAAAGCACGAATAAAATAACGTCGTTTGTTCATTAGAAATAAAAATCATTTGATTTTCCTGTCGTAAAGAGAAAAATGCAATCGCCTAGAATAAAATTGTTAAAACTGAATTCATCTTCGAGAACGGCTTTCTTTTCCCACGAGCTGTATAAACATTATTCTTTGCGTCCGCAGAGATCAGGACCAAGATGGACAGTTCGTAATCCGGGGCCCAGAGGGTGACACGGAATGATACCAACCCGGGTAACCCATACTCCGTCAAAATTCCTACTTATTCGCTACTTTCGGAAATATCGGTCGCCTCAAGATGGTAGTCGTTCCGCAACATCAAGGTGAGATGCCGACATTGCGGTTTAACGTGACGACGGCGACAGCGAGAGGGACGGAAAAGCGGGATGAAATTCGACGCGAGGAAACGCGAGCAGGCAACGAGGTTGAAGCCGAGCGAGCAAAACCGGTCGATGGAACGTTGCGGGTGCTCAAAGACAAGCAAACGCTTAGAAATTCAATATCGACTCGATATTCACCGCGATCGACGGTGGTGTCGTGTTAGAAAGATCAGTGAAGAAGGAGAACAAGACGACGACAACGATGGTGTAATCATGGAACGTAGAAACGTAAGAGCTCGGATATCCGCCTCGGGTTTAGTAGTAAACGCGAACATCCGATTCTCATATCGGGTCGACGTTGATAACAAGTTCCTCAGTTCCTAGTGGATAGCGTACGAAATCAAACAGTCACGTTTATACACTTTAAACGCATTAATATCTTTTAGCGTTAATATTTTGAACATGCTAAAGATGCGATAAGATTAGTCGAGCAAGCTTGCGTAAATGATTATTGCAAGAGTTACGCGCAAACGACAAGAGAGAGATGGATCGAGGAAGACAAGAAGCTTGTGTAAGAAGACAAAAATATGAAGATAAAAGACACCGGCGCGGACTGCTTACCTATCTGAAGAAGAAGAAAGAGGGCGAGAAAGAGGCAACCGTGTGTACACGCATGAGTGATCGTCGAAGGCAAGATCTCGCGACCTCGGAAGCCGTACGAGCGAACGAACGAAAGGATACGAAGATGGATCGAAACATGGAGGGTAGCGTCGAAGGAGCGTGTGTTAAGACGAGCCAAACGGAAAGACGGGACACACGAGGAAGAGGATGGAAGGAGAGCAACACGCGCCTCGAAGAGGTAGTACCGGAAGGACGGGGAAGAGCGATGGGGACGACTAGAGCGTGCAAAGACACGCTGGGACCAAGAGGAGGATGAGAGAAGAAGGAGAAGAGGGAAGAGGAGGAAATAATAACGACCCCGACGACGTCGCAGTGCCGCAGAAAGGTTGACGACCCGACGCGGCAGGCGACGCCCTCCTTCCCCTCCTGCGCCGACACCCTCTGCAATCGTCGGCACAACCCCTTCCGCAGCGGCAACTACCACCTCTCTGGGACCACCGCTATCGGCCAACCGCCTAAACCACCCGACCACCCTCCCTGCACTCGTGTCTCCCTCCACCTGGTCTACTGAAGCGCATGCATAGCGTACGTACGCCAGCAGCAGGGCCACCCTCATCCCTCTCCCACACCGCGCTCTCTCTCTCTCTCTTTCTCTCTCTCTCACATACACACACCCTCGCACCCTTCATCTCTCGTGTCCCGGCCGTCGCCACTACCATCACTACCGCCACCGTCGGCGCGGCGGCGTTACCCTGCGACCGTCTGGCCAGGGTCGGGGTCATTGAACGTCTATAAAGATTTTGACTTCGCGCCACCGCCGCCGCCGCCACCGCCGCCACCGCTGCGGATGCAGGAAGAGAGTTACGCCCTTTTGTACGGAGTGTAACATAATTTGTCAGTCGGCCGGTAGAGGAGATACGCTGGGATCCGCAGATATTAATAGATATTAATACCGTGAAACGGGAACCAATGTCAGTCTATTTTCGCAGGTAAAGGGATCCGCATCCGCGCGCGTAATGTGTGTTCAGAATTACACACGTCTGTCCTGGATCCGAGATATTGATATACAATAGGAATATTACTCCGATTTAAATCATCTTATTCAAAAGTTGATCAAAGAGTGACGTACGACGATTATTTTGAGAATGGAGTAACACTTGCAAGGCGAAAATGGAAAGATGACCTATCACCTATTTAAAGATATCATTATGATATCCTCGTTGAAACTACCATTTTAAAGTTGAAACATTATTTTAGATCGAGAGATAAGTGGCTCGTACAGGATTTACAAAGAGTTCACGTATGCCACGATATAATTTTGACCGAGGAAGGATACTCTTTGGGAACCTAACTGAATATTTTATGACGGAACACGCCCTCTTTTATACGAGACATAACGTAATTTGACAATAACAATAAAGGCTATAGATGTTAAATGCTATCAGTGACATCTTCGATCGATTGTCACTGAGATTCTTTTATCACTCATTAATTATTGAATTTTGCGACTACTAAAAAGTAAAAGAAAAATTTCTTTTATCTAAAGTACTCGTTCGTTCAAAAATAACAAGTCAAAAGGAGAATATTGATCAAGAAAATTCTGTATAACAGGATATCTCATTTTAATCACTTTTTCACGACACATTTGGCCACATTTTGTGGCCAATTTGCAGAATTGGTTAATTACTGAACGACTATAAGCGCCGCGACACTCTCACTAAGGGGATATATAATATTTTGACTAAAAGTTGATCAAAAAGTCCGTAGGATAGTAAGTATGTGCCATGTATAATAAATGAAATAAAACAATCGAGTCGATTGAACAATAAGTAATAAAAGTCTGACAAAATGATCCATTTGTCAAGACATCAACAATTTGTAGAACGGATAATCCTCTCTTTTATCTCGCTCCGTGATTCTACAAATTGCATAAAACAAAGAAAGAAATAGGAAAAAGACTGTTTTGAGATGGATCGGAGGATAGACGTCTCCCGGTGGAAGACAAAGGAATTAGGGAAGGCGACGGAAAAGGTTTAAGTCAAGTCCGGAGAAAATTTTCACCACGTCCTCGAAGGGAGAAAGAGAAAAAGAAAGAGAGAGAGAGAGAGAGAGAGAGAGAGAGAGAGAGAGAGAGAGAGAGAGAGAGAAGGGGTTGAGAGCAAGGGTGGAGATGCGGATTGGCGGCGTGTCTTGCCAACGCCAGGGTCAGAGGTCGTTGAACGTCGGTAAAGATTTCGACTCCCGGCGATGCTGTGTCCCGCGGTAAATAGGCGTGTATGGTTCCCATCCTCGCTCCTTGAGGCAATGTGTATGTGTACACCAGGCTTGGCGGCGGCGAGAAGGAGAATGGGAGAGAAAAGGGGAGGGTGAAGAAAGGTCAGAGATACGAGACACCCTCTTCTCTACGAGGCACACCCTTGTTCGCGTAATCCGTGCACGCTATAACGTGGATGCCATTACGAGGGCGACGGGGTGAGAGTCAGCTAAGCCACGAAAAGAAAACCTGGGGATCGTGTAGTCCAAACGATGAAACTCATTGGCTCCATCGAATTTGAATTGAAGAATTTCAAGGTCTTTAGGGCATCGCTTCGTTATAGCGATGATATTTTTACAGTTACAATATCGACACTCGAGAAATAACAGCAGTATAATCATAAAATATTTCTGTGAAGTGAATAAAATTTGACGTGGCAAATTACGAGGTAGTTATGTACTTACTTTGCTGAAATATCCGACGGTATGACAGCCTTCAGAATCGCCAATTGTCATGACGTAGAAAAGAAATGGCTCGACATCGTAGTATAATGTTTTATGATCCAAGAAGAATTTGGCCAGCAAGCAGAGATTCTGACAATACTGCTTGTATCGCTTACCATCCACTTCCCACACGCCTATCTTGTCCTTTCTAAAACAATAAATCAGGTACAAGATAATTTGAAGATTGTCACTCCATACTATTCAATTGCAGACGTTACATAACTTTAACAAAAAAAAATCCAAAATACATATATGATGAAAAGTATTAAAGAGAGAAATTTAATTACTTATTGTTATAATCTCCTTTAATCTAGATTCATCAATACTTTGCAGATATATTTGTCAAACTATTACTTTATTTCATCTTTAAATATATTTCATAATATAAAATGTATTATATGAGTGTAAATAATAGAAAATGTGTGCTTACCTGTATACTTCATGTCCTGGTGGATGCTTCCACAGACACTTCTCTCGATGTCTCCTCAAAACTTGACGGCTTTTCGCGTACCTCAGACAATATTCACAAAGATAAAGCTTAGGAGCACGACTGTATTCTTCGGGATATGGGCTTTGATACCAAACTTTCATTTCCCATTTTCCCATTTCGACGAATCTGGTACCACCGTTTTTACCTTCTCCACAGTCAAATTCTTGTAACTCCTTTTCCTTAAAAATAAGCATTGATATATATAGAAAAAGAGTACAATTAAAAATATCAAAATAAAAATAAGGAATGAACGTAAGTAACGTTCAATAAATTTAAAAAACAAACGAGGGTAAAAATAGACTATGAACCAAACTAGATTTCTGTTCTAATAATTATATTATGGTCTAAAACTGTATTCTTGAAAAATATCGTATGTGAAAACATACGAAAATAATGCAGGATACTACGTTATGTACATTAAAGATTTCCTCAGCATATATGCAATTTTGTCAAGAATAAGATCCCTAATCGGATAAAATTGATTTTGCAGATGTTTTAACTTGTAATAAGATTATCCTCACGATAGTCGAGTCCAAATAAAAATAAAAATAAATACATGCAATGAAAGATACGATCAAAAATCACATGTATATGGATTATAAAAAACATCAACCGATATGCGTGCGTTTTTTACTACTTGTATATCTTGTATTTCTTTTCATTTTTATTTGTAAATTATTGACTCGACATCGTATATATGTATCGTGACGAGGATGACTTTACTATAAGTCGAATCGATTGCAAAATAAATTTGATAACAATCAGATTATAATAATTAGCATGGAAATTTACTCAATAGTTTGACTCGTTGTCAATAGCTCACTTTCAATCTCGTTATTTTTATAAATATCAATTTAAATTCTAAATAGCAATTATTCATGCAACGCACGCACGCACGCGTGTATCTCGATAAGGAGAAATTAAAAAAAAAGTAAGACAAAAATTTTATAGTTTTAAAAAGAAAAGTAGATAAAGAACCTTGTTTGATCTTGAGAAGATGTCCTTAAGGACAAATCAAGATCACATAAAATTTTTAATGAAAATCCCAATTTTTATTCCATATTTTTAGAGTTTATTTCAAGAACATTCCAAAATGTTACAATACAATAGTATTTTTTCGTTAAGTAAATTTCGAGTTATGATGTTTGAAAATTATATAACTGCATTTACATTATCCAACTGACAAGAGAATTGATAAGAAAATTCAAATGTTTGAAATGAGCTGAGGGCAAAATTTTTTTCCTGTTCGATCAAGCAGAATTTTGGCAGAGATTATTTTTCGTGGATTAAAAATAATCTAAAGAGTATAGTAAAAAGAATTGGAAAACATTTTTTTGTCAAGAATAAATAAAACGTTAATATCTGTATATACAGGGTAGATAATATTAATCAATATACGCTAATATCGCAAAAAAATATAGAACAAGATTACATCAAATTTTTTAAACCGAATCCCCATTTTTTATTTCATATTCTTGTAGCTTATTTTGAGAACTTTCTAAAATGCTACAAAGTATTTTTTTGTTAAATAAATTTTGAGTTATGAGGTTAGAAAGTTACAGTACTGTCAGCGTTTACAATATTTTACTTTATCCAAGGTGTTCGGCTGACGGCTAAACATCTTTTGAATGTTATTTAGGGTCATGACCTTGATAGTATTGATCTTGACAATGATCAATTGATTTTTGCTCCTAGCTCATTTCAAATATTTGAATTCTCTTATATTAAACTTGCTACATTATCAACGGTTTTAAAGCACATTTTCCACACAATATCGACACCTAAAGGATTTTTTTCTCTTATTAATATGTGTGTCTCTTGCTTTTCTGCACCGTTTGAAACCTTTTATACATATCATTTCCTTAGTATGATAATTTTCTTTGCCCTTTATATGATATGTCATTCATGTGTCATTCGCGTGTTAATTTTCATCATTTTTACAAAATTATTCAGTCACTCTATTTTATACTTTTATTTTCTTTAGAAAATATTTATAGTTGTATATTTAAAAAAAAATTATATATGAATGTTATAACTATTATTAATTACTTGATGATCTCAGTTTTTCGAAGAAATGTGCAGAGCACAAATAATCCAATTGTGTGTACTAAAGGATAACTAAAAATAATATATAGTTATTTTTTAATTATTCCCACTAAAAACTAGATAAACTAGCCATTATATTGTAGATTAAAAAGGTGTTACAATTATAACAACTATTGTACAATTATAATATAATATAATTATTAATTAGTATGTTAAATGTAAAAAGTCGCTTTATTAATAATGAAAACATGAAATTCATCACGTTTTAAATTTATTTTATTTCTCAAATATACTACTCATACTTTTTTTAGTCCTTGAATCAGTTTTTCCAGCTCGAATAATTACAAAATGCAATAACTATTTATTTTTTAGTCATTATCAATTTACCTAATTGTTTAATCCTTTAAAGCATACATTTTTCTTTACGTAGAATTCAGTTGAAATTTGTTACTCGGGAGTTTTTCGTGGTCACTGATTACGAATCTGGCCTCAGATTTTAAAAATTCAAAATGGCGGATCCAAGATGGCGGATAGAAAATTAAAAATTAGTTTTGGACTGTAAAATGGGGTCAAGTAATTTTAATTTTAATTTTTTAATTTTGATTTCAAATCCGCAATTAGCGACCCAAAAAACCTACTTGACCCCATTTTACAGTCCCAGAACTAATTTTTTAATTTTTTGTCTGCCATCTTGGATCCACCATTTTGAATTTCAAAAATATAAGGTCAGATTCAGTAATCAGCGACCTCGAAAACCCCTGAGTATTACTCCCGAGTACCCCCGAGCAACAAGTTTCATTGGAATCAAGCAATTTTTCAACTTTTTTGTCCACCATTTTATTGGATCCGTCATTTTGAATTTTTTAATTTTGACTTCAGATTCGTAATCAGCGACCTAAAAAACCTCTCTCAGACTTCATTTTCAGCTAATTAGCTATTGTTGATCACAATCAAAATATATATATATATATTTTGATTAATATTGTTAAAAAAGGAAGAATTTTTCCAGTTTGTTTATTCATAAAATACATTTCGTTAACAATAGAAATGTTTCCTCGATTTTTTTTATAACAATTGATATTCTAAACACTAATAATGTTTAATGAAATTCTTTTCATTGTAGTAATATGTTACAAACTGTATGAAAAACATAAAAAACTGAAGTTAAAAAGGTGTCACATATATGGGACACTGTGCCACAAAGGGTTAAATGAAACATATAAGGTCTTATATAATGTAGAAAAGCAAGATGTACATGTTTAAAAAAAGAAAAATCTTCTAGGTCAATTTTTGTAAAAAATTGTTTTTAAAATCAATGTTGATAGTGTAAAAAGTATAATATAAGGATACTCGAATGTTTAACAAGTCGACACGGGTACTCATTGCTCATGGAGTTGAAATTTGACAGAGATTATTTTTTTATAGATTGAATCATTCTAGAGAGTGCTGCAGAAAGGATTTAAAAGTCGAAAAATAAGGATCACCCTAATACGTATATATGTATATATACAGTATGGCCCACGTGAAATATTACAAGCTATTATCTTTGAAAGTATGTATCAAATAAAAATATATATTCAAACAATAGTTTCATGATTTCGAAGACATAAGATGGAATCAATGGGTGATTTTGTCAAGGTTGGGGCAAGGTCACTTTGAAATTTTTAAATGAAACCCATTTTTCATTACATATTATTCTTGTAGCACACTCATAAACTTATAAGATAGATAGAGTGTTCATAAGAGAGAAGCTGAAAACAACATTAAAGAACAGCTCTACTCTAGACATATAGTTGTTTCTCTCTTTCATAATGAGCGATGGAGGATCGATCAACTTGAACGTAAAGTTACAACTCTCGAATGTCTATTTTCGTTGCTCTTGTCCACTTCCCGGCCTGCCGCGGCAACTAATCAATTTACTACTAAAAAAGAAGAGAACTACTCCGCGACTATTTTTTTCTCTCACTTTCAAATCTTCAGCTTCTCTTGTACGAATACTCTGCTATCTTATAAGCTTGAGAGCACACCTTTCCAAAACACTGTAATAGTTATATCTCACACTTTTTCTTCCAATCGAAGTAGTAGTAATTATTTAATTCTCTTTCAAAACATTATTATATCACAAAATTGCGTTATCTTATTCAATTCAAGTGTTACCACAAAAAATTAAAGTAACAATATAAAATAAAAAAAAATTAATTTAAATAGCAAAATTTTTTATGTAAAATACTTGACGCTACTAGATCGAATAAGGAAAACACACAATAAAACAATTTAAAAATAATGAATTTTATCTAAATGTTAAATCGAATAAAAATAAAGTTTAATGTTTTTTTTTCTTTTTCATAATATAATATTGTATTACATTTCGAAATATAAATTTGTATTATATTTCGAGATCTAGTAATGCGCGTGCCAAGTGACGAATGAGAACTTCATTATATCATTTTGGAAAGGTCTCCATGTTAGCTGCAAGATCTGTTATCAAAAATAGAGCATTCCCTTTAAGAAATTGATCTTTACCTTGGAACATTTCTCCAAGGTAAAGATCAAACCAATGACACTATTATGTCTTATGTCCAAATTATACAACTTTTATCCTAAATATTTTTCTCTAAAATTGAAAACAAAGAAAATTTGGAAGAATGATACTTCAAAATGCAACACCCTGCGTGTGCGTGTATATACGTAACCTTGACAACGCTACTCAAGGTTATACTCACTCTCTCATGAAATGTGCTACTCAAAACCCTGCAACTTTTGTTTAAAACATTTTTTTAAGAAATATGCGTATTTTTTTTAAGAAAAATGCATATTTTTCAAAAAGTTAGCCTACTTAGTTAGAACCTACGGCTCTTTTTACAGGGATTATTTTTTAGTGTCCAGGAATAAACATGCAAAATCCGTGAAATACATTTCTAAGTCTGCCTTTGTTATAAACTAAATACTTACGATTTTTTCACTGGCTATTGCCTGAGCTTCCATAAACAGTTTTAAGTCATAATCAGGTGTGAGATTGTTAAGTCTAGGCTGTTTGTCTTTTTCGTTCCCCTGCAATTCACCGCCGCTGTCACTATCATTACCATCACCAGTATTACCCTTCCATTTGTTTCTCATGTCTCGTACTTTAAGTTGATAATTGCGTTGCTCAGTAGTTTGATGAACACCTTTGGGTTTCTTGGCTAGATTCATTATTGCCTTCTTACGTTCTTCTTCTCGTTTCTTTCTTTCTTTACAAAACTCTCTGCAAAAGTCAATATCATTTTATATGATTGTCATTAAATGCATATATTTTTAATTTAATTTAACATATCAATAAATCTCAAACTGAAATCTGAAATGTAACTTACACACAAGCCTGAATCGTGGTATTATGATACAGTGGACACGCTTCCAGAGTAAAGTGCGAATCGAGTTTTCCAGAGAGGTGACCTCGTGAATTGCAGGATGTAGCCAGCGGACATTCACGTTCCTCTTGTTGCGATGCACATACTTGATTACAAGATGCTTGATTTGTTCTACTACCTGTGATATTGGAGGTACTGCTATTTTGTGTTGATCTACCAGAGGATTGTCTGGCAGCAGCAGACGGTCCAACGCGTTTGACAGGCGATTTGCTCGTGCTTCTCTTGCTTTCAGCTACTTTCAATGATTGCAAATTTCATGAGAATTAGCGCAATTTAAAAATATGCTCATATGCTATCATATCTCTGTCTGAGTATCATATCGCTCATTTGCTTCGATATAATTAAAAAATTGACTTTTTTAAAATTTCTTACAAAAAAAAATATAAACATACTTTAAAAGTACATACTTTTATTTCTTTACAATCAATTATTACATCAAAATTGTATTTCTTCAAAATTAAAATTGCAAAATTTTAACGATTCAAAACATTCAAACTTACTTTCCAGAAAATTTCATTTTTTACTTGTATTGTAGCAAATAAGCGATCTACTATCATAAATAAGAAAAAAAGATTCGAATAAAACAAATATGATTTAATATAATTTATAGAAAATCATTGTAGAGAAAAGAACTTAAATTAGGATAAATAAAAAATAAAAATTTGAAATTGAGCAAGTGCAAAACTTTTTTCAAAGTATAAAACCATGTTCTGTTAATACCTGTGTCAGATTCGGAATCGCTATCTGCCTTCGCTTGTAACTGGAGCAATTTACTTCCTTTGCGTGTTTGCAATTTCCGCTTGCCTTTCGTCATTGTTTTCGAAGATGAAGCTTCATGATCATCCATATCTTTTTCACTCGCGGATGCATCTCCATCGTTGTCACTCTTTATAGCACCTGTTTAGAAACAAATCATATTTGTCTCTTCTTCTTTAGTGCATAAATATAGTGATAAAGAATTTAACAAACCTTGCCGTCTTGTAACTGTTTTTTGTGATTTTACTGGGGCGACTGCCGCCGAGGGTCTCTTAGACGGTACACTCGTTACAGTACTACTCGTTAGTGTATTAGATTGCATTTCTTTCTTTTTGGGTTGAGGCTGAGAACTGGTAACACTTTCAGATGACTCTGAATCAGAAGTACTGTCCGAACTACCTGAGGATGCCGAACCACCAGAACTCTTAGAACTTGCGGAACTTTCCGATTTCTGTGGTTGTACAGGCTTCACGACTATAACAAATAATATATAAAAAATAAGTTACATTAAAATAAATATTTACAGTCGTTACTGTAGAAGACAGAGATAGATATATAATTTACCGGGTCTGCTTGATGCTATGGATTTTTGCTTGGTCTCGCTCAATTTCACTTTTGCTGGTGGATTTTTGGAACATTTTACAGAACTACTTGTTGGCTTCACTGTACCAACTTTCGCCGAAATACCGCTGTCACTTTCACTACTATTTTCTGGACTGAATATACTTTTCTTCTTTAATTTCTTCTGGACAGGTTCCACTGTTTTCCCGGATTTCTCGGAAGATTTATTGTTGGCACTCGTAGAACCTTAAAAGTTATGAAAACATATTTGTCTTTCGAAACATAAAAACATATTTTATTTGCAGTGCTGTCTAGAAATTTCATCAATTCGATCAAAAGTTTCGAAACGAAAATGTTTGATCTTGTTTTTGAGACTATATCCTGCGTTTTCTTCACTATTTGATGGAGATTCCTTCTTTATGAAAAGCATTAACAATAGCTTCACGATCTAAAATACAATATATTTCCTTCCCACATCTTGAAAAGAAATCAAAAGAGATGTTACAAGTAAATCAATTTCTCTAAATTTGCAAAATATACTTTGCAAGTTCTTTAAATAGGAAATAATTTTAATCATATTTATTTTTGAAGATATTTACGTTATAATAATTTATTGTGAAAAATATTATTTCAGTTGGGAATCGAATCGATCAACATAGTATATAAATTCACACCGAATTAATTGAACTGAAGATGCAGTTCAACCGGGCTTAATTTTCTATTGGGTGTGTATACAGTGTAAGAATAGAAAAAATTTTTCTTCTTTAAAGTAATTTTATAACTTTAAAACTTTGCTCAGGGGAATCTTTTGTCTGACACAAAAGTGTATTTTAGTTTTTAATCTCATTTTCTAACAAATCCATATTTTGAAAATTATATTTTTTTAACAAAGTTATATCATTTTGAAAAAAGTTACAAAACGGATAACTTTTTTAATAAACTTATTGTTAGTATAACTCAGTAACAAATAATTAGAGAAAATTTTATCAAAAAGAAATTCCCTCAGCAATACAATAGTTTAAAAAGAGAAATTTTTGTGTATTTTTTAATGTCTATCTTCAGCATTTGCCATTTTGTAATACATTTTGTGTAATTCAAATTTGATTTTCATGACTATTAAGGAGAACATTCACGCTTTAATTTAGCTAATCTCGATACATGAATTCTCGTTGAGTTGTTTGTTATTCAAAAATATTAAAAATTTGTGCTAAAATCTAGTGGCTCGTAAAATTTTTTTTGACGGTGAGTGTAGATCTTATTCTTGAAAACGAGTATTGTGCACTATGAGAACAGCAACGTATAAACAGCAATAGACATAAACATCAAATGCATTTCAAACTCAAAATTACAAATCCTAGATAGCACTGATACTCGTCGATATTCATAGATGGTTCTTTAAAATCATTTTAAACATCTTATATCTCTTAAAATATTCTGCTTTAGTATAGCTAATTGTCCCGAATTTTGTGGGACATCCCGATTTTTTACTCTCTATAAAGACATCCCCTTAAGCTAATTATCCCGATTTATCACATAAATTAATATAAAATTCGTTAGTGTGTGTGTGTGTGTGTGTGTGTGTGTGTGTATAACATAGGGGAATTAATTGTTTAAAAAAGTATCCATTTGTCTACTTATTTTCTTTACATCATAATTGATTTATCTCATATCTCTATTCATAAAAGTATTATATAAATAACTTTATCTTAATACTTTTATTTACGAAATAATCAGAAGAATCATATCGTATATAAAAAATCATATAATTCCATTAAAAGTGGCATTCATATGACCTTAAAAAATTAATTTTATCAATTTGTGTTTCTTTAGATCGTACAACTTTTATCTGAAACATTTTTTTGTACTTTTCATATTTTCTGAGATATTTGACTCATCATATTTGAAATGAGTTATCCATTGCTATATGTTGTATTACAAAAATACTTTGTATTATATATATATATTAATTTGATTAATTCTACAAAGTATTTTTGTAATTCAACATATAGCAATGAAGAAGTCCTGAATTGTTCTGTTGTGTGGCCATATTTTAAAGTTGATGTCTAAAAATTGGCTGATCAAGAATTAGTCACCCTACTTTGCTCTGCAAACGATTTATGATATCTTAAGTTTGTATTTGTTAAGGCAATCTTAAATATGAAATATATATATATATATATCAACCATGTAGAAATATAAAATATTTAACAAAATCAGAGTAATGAATTTACCAGAAAATTTGTTGGGTTTGGCATTGGCAGGGTTTGGAACCGATATAGCTTTATGTTGTCCTGATGCAGATGCTGGTTTTGTGGGAGATCTCTGCGCCTTAACAACTGGTGCCACGGTAGCAGTAGCTTTCGGTTTAGCCGGTGGTTTCCGCTTCTGTAGTGATTTTGTTTTGCTAGGTGATTCTTCAGATTCGGAAGAATACATTGACGATCTGGATTTTGGTGGTTGTTTGTCTTTATTTTTATTTTCCAATGGTGGCACAGCCACTGTTTCTTTAGACTTGACATGACGGGTGGCTGAAAACGCTTTTTTCTTGGTTCTTTCTGTATCAGATGCCTTTTGACTATTGGCAGAGCTACTGGAGTTCTCTGAGTCAGACGAACTAGACTCACTGCCTGAACTCGACGAACTACTTGATGAAGATCCTGAGCTGGTCGTTGATGTAGATTCTGAACTGGTTGTCTACAAAATTATGTCATATTGAATATTTTAACACATAAGAGGTCGTAAAAATTTAACAGATGTAAATTAGTATAATCTTTTGGAACTTAAAGTATATATATTCATTTTTAATGCACAAATTCAGCTATAAAAAACAAACTGTATACATATTTTGGGAGATTTTTTTCTTAAATAAAAAAAATTGTAGACTTAATCCTTTACAATTGACGAAGAAAATAATAAAAAGCAAAGCGATTATTGTGAATAAAGTGCATATAATGCATAGATGTTCGTTCTTCAATTGCCATAACCTATAAATATACTTGCCTTCCGTTTAGGCGTCATCTTTGCGGTGCTACCTCTCATTCAATTGATAGACATCGTTGAGTATCATCTTCGCCAGAATATTTTCATTTCTCACCAAACTTTTGCCCGAACACTCATTACTTTCGCATCTCGTTTCAAAACAACTATTTACAAACCGTACATAAATGGTACATGAAACGAATGTGTATATGATCATATACCATAGATCATGGTGTTGAAAGAAAGGTGATGCGCATAATTAGATCGGAATCAGGGGGTCGATTTTGTATTGGGTCATCTAAAAAGTATCCGCGGTTTTTTGTCACTAGATGGTGTTGATGGTCAACACATAGTGACAAAAAACCACGGATACTTTTTAGATGACCCAATAATTTCAAACGAGGTGAAAATTACGAAAGTGAGCAAATTTATTAGGTGTGGACCAATGAAATTATCAATATTCTAGTAAATTCGCTCACTTTTGTAATTTTCACCTCGTTTCAAGATCGATTTTCTGACTACACATTGAAGATTGAAACATTGAAGTTTGACCAATCAGAACAAAAGAAGCCAAAACTTCTTTGTCCTCATTGGTGAAATTTCAATCTTTAATTTTTAATCTTAATCTTCAATGCATAGTTTAATTCCGGCCTAATGACAGTGATCAAAACCTTGCAAGTGCTTTGAAGCGTTTGATGAACCAATTAGAAAAAAGAATTTTACAAACTGACCAATTAAAAAACGCTTCAAAGCATTTGCAATATCGCGTTGACCATACCCAATAGTTGGGTTCGGCAATGCAAATCTGAGGCGTCGAAGTGCTCTTTTTTTACAGTACACGTGACATATCCTATAATATAAGACTCCGACGACTCAGATTTGCATTATCGCGCAGCTAACAAGAGTTGCGCTACTAAACAGCCTATTTTTGGTCCGCCATTTTGCAGCAATTCCAGCTTATATTCGAATGTCTGTATTGTAGCACAGACGAGATACTATTAAAGACACATCCTTATAGGAGTTCGCATCCTTGTGAATATTGAAGTGATTAAAGTCGTACGCGTACACCTAGCGAACGAACAACGAACGCAAAACTTTGTGTTGTTATTTGTTACATAAAAATTGCATAAATTTAATTGCTATGTGTAACGAACATCAAATTTAATCGAATGTATATAAATATCTTGGTACATTTCCTCTCTGAAATATTATTAAAATATTTATTAATATTAATTATTTTTATATTAGTTAGCAGTTTGAATTTACAATTTAGTAACAAAATATCTTATCAATATATGCTGCGTCAATATTGTGCTTAAATAATGTTACATTTAATAATCATGTAATATTGTCACGAGTGGACATATAACCATCCATTAATATTTCAAGAATATTATTTAATATTATATAGTTTCAGTATTCTTCACATGTTACGTTTAATATTTTGGAAATATGCCTAAAATATTATTTAATATTAAATAATATTATATATATATATTTTTTTCAATAATGTTCAATTTTTTTTCAACGTTTGTTGCCCATAATACACGATGTTTAGCATCATATAAAAATATTTTCATTATGTTACCTTTAGCTGCAGAATTAATGCAAAATGGGATTGCACCCCAACCATTTAACTTGCAATTATTTTTAATAATCTTCTAATAAATCGTACTAATCTTCAAAATTAGAAAGACGTATCATGATTCATGAAAAACTATCAAGTTTAGAAAGAGGTACAATTCCTCACTCTCTCTCCCTCTCTCTCTCTCTCTCTCTCTCTCTCTCTCTCTCTCTCTCTCTCTCTCTCTTGTGTGATTTTGCTGAAACTAGAGACCCTTAAGAGAAAGAGACCGTGAAAAGAGTCTCTAACTAGAGTCTTTGTTCCTCATGTCGCAACTTTCATTAAAGTATAGTGCTAGAATTTATATGTAACTTTCTGTCGATTTTCAGCTTGATTTCCGTCCCTTATCTCACGAACCCACGCGCAGTCTAAATGCCAATCAGCATGACTATTCTAGTATGCTACTGCTATTATACGCAAGAAAGTGTATTCGGATCATGGTAGAAGGGATAACATGGTGTGCATTTGGACAGAGTCTCTTGTTATTGGGTCATTTAAAAAGTATCCGCGGTTTTTTGTC